CAGTAATTCGTGTACGCTGAATTAGAAAATGATATCCATTTTTCTCCATCACATACAGATTTTTCACAAAACATCATAATGCAATACATAAAAGAAAGACCATAACACGTAGTTTTGAGGCTAAAAGATGTAGATTTCACAAAAAAATCAGGATGAATGAGGATTCATATTTGTTTGACATCAATGTTATTCCCTTTTTTCTCAGTTTGTTTGTATTTTTGTTAACAAATGTGGTAATAAAAAAAGAATTTTCATATTTGTAAATGAAATAATAATTTGATCTAAGTAACAGCTTTTTTGCTTCCCAATTTGTAAAAAATACTTACATGATAGTATAAAAATGAATATTATTTTCAAAATCTGCATAGCTGAATTATGGAAAATCCATTATTAAAACCAAAACAACTTTTATGAAGTTTAAATTCATAGGCCTGTGTTATTCTTAACTCTGTTTAACAGAAACTGGAGTTCATCATAAGATATTGCTATTAAAGTAAATATAATTACAAACCTATATCTCAATGGATCTTTATTGGCTCAATATTTTACTGTTATGGCTTTATCAGGAGCTATCAATAACCAACAAGTTTACTAGTGCAGTTGAAATTGAACTAGTGAACTTGTAGGTTATCAATGGATCCTTACAAAGCTGTAGTTGTGAAATATTCAGCCAATAAAGATAAATCCTGGCGATACAGGTCATTATTTCATTAACATTATTACATAGATATATTTCATGAGATGATTTCAAATGTGTTTCAAGTTGAAACAAATAACATTTCTAACTTGTAATTTGGAATTAAGAAGTAAAAGAAACATTCATTAATTCAATAATTTATTGAAAATATATATCCAGTATGAATTATTTAATGTTACAGGCTCAAGATAACAGGCATGCCATGGCTAAGGCTTTGTATTCTCGAACATTTGCTTGGATTGTAAACTTCATCAATACTTGTACAAATCCAGGTCAAGACAGCAAAAGATTTTTAGGAGTTTTAGATATCTTTGGTTTTGAAAATTTTACTGTAAGTACACTTTATTCATTATGAGAATTTTTAGAAAATCTCAGCGAATGCTGTTTATAATTGTATGTAGTTTATATATTGTAATTAAAATAAATTAAAAGTATACAAATGTAGAACTATGCAATACTTATTAGGAAATATATAGCATTAAACTAAAATATTGATAATAAATGCCCTGCTAGGATTAAAATAATCAGATTGATGGGGTTTATGTAAAAGTAAAACACTGTACGTTTGTTGTCTGTTTTAAGGATTGTAATTAACGATGATTGTGTGTTTATTTTGTTATTACTACTTTTTTTTAACTTTGGAGCTTCAAAGTTTAGTAATTATCAACATTTCAGTAATTGATCATTATAATGGCTGGAATGCCAACTTTATTAGAGAAGTTTGTTTATTTTATTCTATTTTGTTTCGAGTAATTACCTTTCTATAGATATCAGTAGATGATGAATGGTATCTTTAGATATTGGATGCTGTGTATGCGAGCACCCATATTTACTCTGAATTTTTATAACTTATTTTCCTGGCAGACATGAGGTTTG